TAGACGTTAAATTATAACAAAACAAATTAACCAAAGCGCCGATGCCGGTTTTTATGGCTCTTTTTCCGTTCATTTTTTTTATTATTTTAGAAGTACACGGTACTTGTTAAATTGCAAGCTGATTATTCCTTAAAACAAATTACAGTAAAATCAACGGCGGTTAACTCTGTTAATGAGACTAACAGGCTTCTGCGGTAACATTAAACGCGAAGATGTAGAATTTTAATGAATCCAATGATTTTATTGTCATCGTCAAAGCTATAAAGTTCCAGCTGAGCGTTGATTAAAAAAAATCTCTTGATTTTAAAGAGAGTTGCGCACAAAGAAATATGAGAGCTACCCTCTTCTTTCTCTTTAATGAAAAAACTCGACACGCAAACCGCCTGGTGAAATCTGCAAATAAAAGCTAATCAGAAATCAGTGGTAAAGCTTTGAGTGCTTGTATCGCGAAAGAGGTTTTTTACTCAAGAATAACGGGTTAACTCTCTCTTCTCAAAGCACCAAAATTATTTTCAAGCGAAAAGCGCGGAAATCCAGACGGTCGTTCAGATTCAAGATAGCGGTTCTACGGTTCAAGTTGCGTTGCACCGTGGCTTAATTGAATTAACCGTAAAGATAGAAAATTATGTCGCGTGTAGACTTCGCCGCTAGAAGAACTTTTCGCCACCTGCAAAATTTCGCAGGCGAGCGCAAAGAAAAAGAAAAAAATAACCACGTCCAACCGTAAAATAATGGACAGATTTCCGAGATTCGGAATGCGGATTTTGCATATCCGTAAAAATTTGCATAAATAGAAATTTACATAAATAGGAAAGAAAGAACTACGATACTTGGCGTGATTTTAATATCGCGCCGATATGACGTACACTGAAATATAGTAATTAGGAGCAGTTGCGTTTCACGATAAAGACAGTCGTAAACAACTGTGACTTTAAATCAACAGGATATCGGCCGCTCGTAAATATCAGCCCTGTCCCGACGAAAATGCTTTCTCGTCGACGTTTCCCGCCGCCTTTAATCGAAAACAATAAAGATAGCGCTTTTATCGTTCGCAGGCACGAGAAGTCGCGAGAGCTTTCGTTAACCTCGTACCGCTCGTTTCATCCAATCCCGTGAATTTCATCGGTGGACGAATATTAAGTCTTCGCACCCTCAACAGAGATATATCGCCGCCATCCAATCTCTATGCAGATGCGAGACGAGCATGTCGGATCGCGTGCGAGAAAAAAAGTGTGCCGTCGAACGGCAGATAAAGGGAGCAGCCATCCGATTTCGATGGGAAAGCCACGCTGATTCGGCGGAATTCCCTGATTTCTTTTCGCGTTTTGACGCCGCAAATTTATTTCCCGCACTTTCGTCAGCATTCCGAAAAATATCTTCGAGACAGGAAAAAATGGCGGAAAAAAACATTGTGCACTTTCACGAGCGAAACGTCGATTAATCGTGACTCGCGCGATCGCAAGAACGCGTGTATCATCGATACGAGCACGCCTGGTTACTTCGTATTGATTTACTTACGAAGCGAACGACAGCGGGCCACTTATATAATCAAGAGATTAGCAGAATTATTGAGTAAACTTAACGATTCAGAAATAATTTGATTGAGATGTATCTATTTTATGAATTTATTATGAATACAGCGAAAATATAAAAATGCTTAGAATGCTCAGATATTCCGTATTAAGGCTTCTCATATATAATAGTATAAATATTCTCGTAATAGGACACGCCGATAAAACTTGAGAAGGACGACCGATGTTAATAAGAGACGATAACTGCAAACGCGAATGTCTTCTATTATGTAAGAAGGGATTATTTTTACAACGGAAGGATGTGGCGTGAGATAAGTTGGAGAATTAATCAAGGTTAATAACTAGCGACATGTTTCTAAGTGGACGAATAGATTGTTTTTATCCACAAATAATTTTTCTTGAAGAAAGCTTTTAAAATCAAGCTAGCAACATAAACACGTCTGAAATTAATGAAAGTTTTCACGAGAATGATAAATCGGAGACGCCGGTGAAGCTATTAAATCGATTGTATCAAAAATAACTGTTGTTGCTATCCGCTTTATAAAAAGTCGCAGCTTGAATAACATTACATTATTCTAAATAGTAAATTATTCGACAAGGATTTCCGCCGCTTTTGCGATTTGAATCAAGTTTTACTCCAAATGTACTCCCGTTTTTTGTCCAATTTGAGATAATTATACGCCCATTGCGCGTTAATGGAATGCCGGACGATAGCGATCAGTTTTTACTGGCGCGATGAATCAAAGAATTGGATCGGATTCAAAACGCTGGACGCGCCAAAAGTTCACTCATTTTGTAGCAAAACGAGCCTATTTCCGATAACGCGGATATTCGAGGGAGAATCAGCCAGACAGACGATGAGGGGGAAGACGCTTCCGCGAGGGACGCGCACGGACACAGGCCTGTCACTGTCGATAACGCGGCTAATACGTCCTGATATATGCAATTGACACTAATTTGAAGATCAAATCGGAATGTCCGACGGGGTGCATCAAGGGGGAAACGGCGCGAGCGCGCGTAATAATGCGGCGCTTGTAGTGAATGCACCTTAGCCCCGAGGCATCGAACCCCCGCACCCACCGTCGGGAATTGTCGGTTACCTCGAAATCGAGGAGACTTCGGTAGGAGACCGGGCACTATCGCATGCACGGAGAGCATTTAATTACAGACGATCGACCCCGCCTACGGAAGCCCACCCAAATTCAATACAGCGGAAAATAATCGGCGAGATGCCGGCCGCTGCAAACCCGAGCGGCGAACGTGCCACTGTTTGCCGGCCATAATCGAACGACGACACGTTCGAGTTCTACGACGGATCGAGCTCTTTTTATTCTCTCAATATTCCTTTGTCTCATTCCAGCCGTTTCGTTCTAGTTCGTTTCATTCCAGTCACGAAGAGAGAGAGAGAGAGAGAGAGAGAGTGAGAGAAGAAGTTTACGCGACATTGAACAATGAGATCGGATAAAGAAGAAAGATAGAGATTAATCTTGACAAAGGGCGATTGCAACATTTCGCGATAAAGAGCTCTCGGCTGCGCGCATACACAAAGTTAACGAGATAATAAATAAAAAAAAAAAGAAAACATTAATTTTTTGTAGGCACATAAGAAATTTCAGCTGATATACGAGTTTCGCCCTCCGAATCTTTTACTCTTATTCTTTTGAAACAATGTCGTGAGAGGCAATTTGGTGCTGATGTCTGGCTCATTTCTCGCTTCTTTGAACTTCGTATTATTTCATTTGGGTTTAAGGGTACAAGCTTTTATCTTCGCAACGTAAAAAAAAAAACAAAAATAAGAAAGAAGATTATAAAGAAGGATGAATCGGGAAACGATAAGCAGCGGAGACGGCGGAGAAAAGTTTGGAAAGAAGAGCGAACGTCAATTCACTTAACTCGACAGAGTAACGAGAGGATCCGAAAGGAGTCTCTGTCGTTATGCTGATTAGATCGTACCGTTTTATTAAGACGGCGGGTGTAAACTTCGAGATTCACAGGCCCGCGAGGAAGAAGCTTTAGTGCCGTTTCACCCCGACGAGACGAAGTTTCCAATCGCTTCCCATTGTCGAGAGTCTATCATCGGCGTTTACTCCACTTTGCTTTTCGCAGAACATTCGAAGCGAATTCGGAGAGATGTCAGGAGATTTTATTATGCATGATGATGCCATGTCCCGAATGTATGGACATTTGCTCTCTTATTCAAATCGCAAAATGATATTCGCGTTCGTTCTCGTTCCGATAAATCCTCGAATTTATGTTATCTTCATTTAGTCAACTTTATTTTTGACGCGACATACTTTTACCCCCTCCCTTTTACATTTATTCCGAAAATGCAATGTTAAACGCTTGTTGAAATAATGAAGATCTGAATGGAAAATGTTAACTCTTCGCGAAAGAAGCTATGGTTTGCTCAAATAAATTGCAGCGCGAAATTATGCATACAAACGTTCCAGTTTCGTTTCGGAGTAACGTCGTTTTCTTCGTTACGTCGAAAGCATCGAAAGATTTAATAATGCGGTTTACTCCGTTGAGTAGAAGAAAGACCATGCATCACATAGGACAGGCGAGTTCTTGGTAATACCGAGCTCGGTGATTTCATAAATTATTTCGCCACGCTGAGAGAGGCATAAACATTTGCAATATGCACTTGCCGCAGAAATTGGGATCGGTATACAAATCATTTATCCACGTAATGCGAATCTCATCCCGATTCGCGGTAACGAATCAAAATTTCATCACTTTAAATTAGGAATGTAAAATGAATTTGTTACCGCGTATATATCCGAGTAAACAAACGGTGTAGCGCTGTTTTCGGTATATATTTAAATATTAAAGTTTAAAATATTAAAGTAAAATTGGAAGTTTTTGCATTCGATTTCATTCGAATTATGCAGGCGGTACAATCTTTTGAATATTTACAGTCCTATTTCAGGTATTTTCGCAGAACGCGAGTTATTTCTCCAAATTTGCAAAATCCTCCCGGTATATTCGAGAAAACTTCTTCACAGTAGTAGTCGCGCAGAAAGTGGAAGCCGCGAGAGGTTTTCTGGTGAACGGACGTGCAAGCTTGCAGAAGACTCCGGAGCCAATTTGCGCGGACTCATCTCATAAATCCGACATCGGTGGGTCCGCCGAGAAGTAAATAACGTCGTTCGTTATAGTCGACTTTGGAAGAGTGTCAAGCGATCGTTGGCGCCGCATCGACGCCTACTCGCGAAAGAAATATTTATCTTTTCACGAGATTCGAAATTGGCCTTTCCCATTTCCAGTTGCGCGAATGTTTAAACAACGTTGCGATTTTCAACATAATGAACGCGGAATACGTCAAAAGGTTTTTATTCCTGTGGCAATATTTGCTGGACGTTTTGCAAGACCGCCTCAAAGATCATGATTGCGCGCCCCGGCGTGTTTTTTGCGCTCTCACTCTTCGTTATTTCGATATTAAAGTGAAAAATAATGTGTTGTACTTACGATGCACCATTCAGACGAGGGTGGACAGTCCACCACCATGTGTGCGGTGTAATTAATACACGGTGTAATGCTGCCGACTCCCTCGTTGTACTGTCCGCATTTGTAACATCTAATACCGTGCGCGACACCTGCGACAAATAAATAACGTTTAATCGTCGATTGAAAAACGACGCGGGAAGCATATTGCTGTTGCAGTCCGGATCGAACGCGAAAGCGAATGTCGGGCAATCTGCAAATCGCGGGGTCTAAAAATCCATTTTTTCCTCCCGATTCCGCATTCGCTTCATCGCAAATAATTCGCGATGGAACGAGCGCAGTCGATTTGCAGCTGGTTTCTGGGTGCGACACTCGTGATCCGATTAATCCCGCGAGCCATAGGATTTGGAAATTGATAGGACCTATAAAACGCTTAATCGCGCCTCGTAAATGCGAAAACTCGGACGAAGACTCGCCCTGGCTCGCCGCTCATTCCGCTCCCGCGAGCAATAGCTGCCATGGTACGTTTCGCGAACTTAGTCGGGTTTTCGATGATGCGAGCGTCGCGCTCACAAGTTTTACTGCGCTTTTTCGTGCCGGACCGATCGGAGTGCTTTTTCGCCAGCGGGTATAATGCACGTCCGTAAAATCGGAGATTTACGAGGATGGCGCGCGCGCGCTAAGCGCTGCCGTCGATTCCAGATGAGACGGGGAGGTCGCGAAAGGTTCACTAGATTAAAGTTTGCTCGCCCGTTCTCAATCACGGCACAAGAGTGCTCGGGACTTTAACCCATTACCTGCCAAAACTTTATTTTGGCAATTATTTTGATAACCATTTTTCAATCACTTATATATTTTTATCGCAATTAAGTTATACTTGAGACGTGAAAATAGTTTTGGTGTTGAAAATTAAAATATTGTAGAGGAATAAAATTAATTAGTAATAAAAAGGAGATGGTTAATGGATATTCATTTCTAAATGAAGATATATACAAATAATAACAAGGGATCGCATTTCTGCAATAAATTTATAATTAATTGCTGATCTTTGTATACAGTTTCCGTAACGAAAGTTTCACAAACGAATGGCAGAATGTTCAGCGAGTCTTTAAAAAAGTAGAGAAGCAGAGAATGCATAATTGATAAGAGTAATAAAGTGTTTTAAGTGTTTGCCACGAATTCGCGTTAGGTCCTTCACCGAACTTCGATAGTTCCTAACGCAGTCTGAAGGAGAGAGGTCTCAGTCGGTGTACGGCTCCCCGGAGAGGTGAACCACCGTGGAACCTCGTTAGAACTTTATGAACTTGCGAGTTTATCGAGGCTGATGTTTCGTAACGCCGCTCGCCGTGCCGCGTCGATTCGGTTCTCAACAAGATATTAAGTCTGTCCGTTTGCACATTTTCATTTGTACGCCGTGCTAAATTGAAAGTGGGACAAACGGGAATGTATATCGGTTGGTTGAAGGAAAAAAAGAATAACTTTGACAAATCTCACTAGTCATAAAAGATCTATGCAAAATTGCAGGATTTTATATCAAACTTTCCAACTTGTTTACTCGCATAACGTGAGAAGAAAATTACATCACTCCTCCGTTTCGCAGCTTTATTTTTCTATCGGTCCATTACACCGTGTCGCAATGATGCAAAACATACGATATGAGCGTAAATCTCGACGGAACGCGTAAGCTCCACCGCAAAAGCAATTCGGCGGAGCAAGAAGTGAAACGAGATCAATCCGCGACGACGTCATTACAACCGAAGCCACGAAAATATAAAACGAAAGAACGAATCAGCGCCCGTCTCGCATCAGGGACCTTTTTGCCTCTGGTAGTGTTTTCCTATTTCCAATAAAATATTTTTGCCGCATCCTAACCGAGCACCCACCCCGTGTCCAAAGTCGACTCGATAAAGAGGCAACTTTTCCAATTTTCTGCGAATCGTCCGTTCGGAATTCGATACACCAATCTACCAAATCCTTAACCCGATTGTCTCGCCATCCGTTTTCCTTTAATCTCGCGAAAATTTTATATATATATATATCTATGTCAATAAATAATTTCAGAAATCATTCAACAACTAATAAAATTCATAAACACTAATAGAAATCCAATTATAAATACAAGTCGCACAGTAATTAAAATAGTAAACGCAATTGCCAAAATAAACCCAAATTACACGATTTCAATATTAAAGATGAAAATACAGCGCGAGATAATCTTTCTGACGAAATTTCGCTTCTACGGAACGTGGCGAATCGCGCCGCTGCGAGAACAGATAGGATGCCGCGAAATCTGCTTCGCGGGCAAGGACTCGGGAGTTTGTTTCGCTCAATATTGCGGACCGTGTTGCAGCGCAGATACAGCTCCTCCGTCGTCGCTCCTCTCACATTTCGGGCGGAGACGCGACACGTAAATTCGACCCCGACATCCCCTCGTTTTCGGCGGAGGAAGAAAAATATCGGTAGTAAATTTTCGCCAGAGACGGACGTGCCGCTCTGTATCTTCCCGTTCAGTCGCTCGCGCGCGTGCGACCCGGATGATTTATCCCGCCGCTTATTTTTTCCCGATGCGCTGCCTCACGCGACGCGCGATAGAACCCGCATTTTCACCGGATACGGCGCGCAGTATTGATAGCGCGGCCAACGTGCCGAGATGTATTTCGCCGTTGTCATTATTTCGAGGGTGTGTTCGCGGTCGATCGCGCGGGTCAGTTGTCGAAACCGCGTTCGATTCTCTGGATATTGAAACGGTCGCCCCACGCGATTTCATTCGAAAAATTAATGGCTTTTATATTACGGTACTTAAAACCGTGTACTTCATATTTTTTTTTTATAACACATTAGCAAACATGATAGCTAATTAATAAAGCAGCTAATCGCGTAACGGAGTTAAAAACCAATTAGCTGATATTAAAAGTTATATTCACCCTATTTAACGAGCATGAAGGGTAATCATATATTATGTTAATACGCGGTGTAACGTTGCTGTCATACATCTGTTAGTGGCATAATTTTCATGTAATTTGTCGGAGATATTGCGACTTCGTCCATTCGTAACTAGATAGTCGTGAAGCTTGCGCGAATTCACGGGTTACATTATACGAACTAACGGATAGTTAATGTGCAGCGATGCGATAAGGTAAACCATTCGTGTTCCACTTTGCAACTTTGCTATCCGCTGGCAAATATTTGCCCTCGATCAGGCATAATGGAGCTCATACGGACATATGCGGCTTCTGTTCACATTCGGTGAAATGTACATGAAACAATTTTAAATTAAATTTTCGCGAATTTTGCTTGACTTTTTCAAATTTTGCTAGAATTTTTCGGAGAGACGAGGCGGGCGAGAGACCGAAAGTATTTTGAACGACAAAGTCTTCCAAAATTCCTTAACATTATTTATGCAATATCAGGATTCTGCAGTGTTAACTGTATGATTATTATGTCGATTGAGATAAGCGAAGATGACGAAGATTAAATCTACAAGTTAACTTTGCTTACGTAAGTGCGGCGGCGGTTGTCAAATATTCGCTCTCGCAATCGTCGACAATGGAATTCGCGACTGCAGCCGCTGTTTCGAAAACAATTTAAACTTCGTCGCCTCGAGTAAGCTCGAGCGACCATCGAGGAAGAACTCGAACCGACGAGAGCAAAGTACTGACGAAGTCCTTAACATTTCCGCAAGGATTTCGTTCGCTACCGACGGATGAGTTAACTACTAGTTTTCTGTCGATATGAAGTAAACGAGTCATGATTATGAATTCCAACAGTAGTTCAAAGTTAATTGTGTTTATTTCGCGATTATCGTTATCGCCGTTAAAGAATTTTAAATTTATGCGTTAATTAATTGATTATATTTTTTTATGGTTTATTGTAATCTGAAATTATAGTGTTGAGAGATTTAAAGCATAAATGCCAAGGTGACAGTCGATGAATAGAAAAGTACTTTCTATATTACGTTCTTTATCAGCGCAATAAAATTGCGATGTATTTTATGGATCATTTCATTCAAATGTCAGGTTGAAAGAGGAAAGACCGATGTCACGGCAGTAAAAATCGCGGATGGATCTTTTGCCAGGAAAGGAAAGTTCGCGATTCGTGCGGGATCGAAGCTCGTAGCGAATAACGTCATTACGTGAGCGGAAAGATTTCGCCGTCGTCGTAAAGGTATCCGAATGGAAATGCCGATCTCGATGCCGCAATCGGCTTTGTGCGCGGCAACTTGCATCCAGCGATGCCATCATGTAAAATTCGTTCCGGAGGGAAGTTGGCCTCACTCCGGCTACGAAAGTCGTGGGTGTATGTATCAACGCGCGCGGAATGAAGCCGGATTATTACTTTGCCCGAAGAATGGAGGTAATTTCGGAGGAAAGTTTCGGGCAGAATGTCTCGCAGAAATATTCGCGTGTATATAATATGTGAGCTTTGTAGAGAGACGTGAAAGGTAGACGCTTGTCAAATGAACCATTAAACCCAGTATTAATTTTCGAGAAGTACGAGTTTACGCGAAATGTTCCAAAATTAAACAGTGAGATTATTTTAGTGAGTAATTTATTATACGTGTTTTTACCATTATTCTACGAAACTTGAAGCAATTTAATATATTCACTGCATCGGAGATACTTAGCGTTAAGCGGAGAATTGCAGCGAAAATTCTGTCCGAAAGTGAACAGCGATGCTCGCGACTTTAATGAAGACAAACCGCTGCTGTTTCTTCATTACTAGTGTCCGCCGAGATAGTTCGCCCGCGGCTTATATTCTATCGTAAGAAAGTCTAAAGAATTCCGAAGCCGACGAATTCCGAGCGCGGCATCTAAGTACTCCCAACTCTCGGAATTTCCCTACCGGGGAGCAAAAGCCCGTCTTAGACATCGACATGGTGTGACGCTTTAGGCATCCTGCTTGCATTTCGACGCGATGGGAATTTCCTCTTCCGTTCCGCATCGATCAGCAATGTGATTTGTGACATCCAGCTTCCGAATTTAATTAGCATTTTAGCATGCACCATGATAATTATGAATATCTGCAATATCGACAGAATCGTAAAACGTATAAATTCCAAATATATTATCAAATTATGACAGCTTGCATTGGACAATTAAATTGAGTGATCGAATTTATAAATACAAAATAATGTAAAATAAAGTTCAAAATA